AGACAATCTCGAGGCGTCTGCAGTTCTCGTGAATATCCTGTCTGTCTGCTGACTCTTCGCAGCCAGGCCAGTGATGGGCAGAGGCCATGATGCGTGTCCCTGCAAAGACGGGTATTGAATCAGCTCTTTGAGAAAGAAGCCAGCAGACACCTTCACGATGAAACACGTGACCGTTATTTTCTTACTAGAGCAGAAGAGCACCTCAGAAGTTTGGTTATAAAATCAGAAATCCGCAGCGTGCTGTCACTGAACAGTGAAGGCTCACTCCGTGGCCGGCCTGTTAGCAGCCACGGGCTTCCCGTTCGCTGTGCTGCCAGGAGCATCTGTGTGCCCTGCTCAGGCATCGTTTCTTCTCCTCCTCATTGGACTCCGCCTTCCCTTGACCCTCTTCATCCAGAGGAAGAGTCCCGGCTAAGGCATAGCCTCATGTAGAGCGTCGATGGGGAAAACCCGCTCAGAAATGAATAGCACGTGGGCAGTCCTTTTTTCCTCCTTTCAAAGTCTGGTCTCTGAGCTACACCAGTGCTCTTGGCACTGACAGTGTGGTGAGACCAGAAGTCAGTGCGGAGTAGCTTTGGGAAAGGACTCATGGGTGGAAGAGAATGACACTGATGATGAAAGGGCTTTAACTTAACGGTGCATGGCCCCCGCCCCCAGCCCCCCTTCCTATGGTCAGTGGAGAGGTGGCTGATGATTCTGCCAGTCGTTGTGAAAATGACAAGTCTGACTGCACTCTCCCAGATCACAAGCCCGGGAATAAAATGCATGCGTTTGTGTCCGGGTTCGAGGAGGGCTGACTTTCTAGGCGGTCACTGTTTTAGGGGCGAGGCTGCTGTCACCTTGGGCCAGTGTGAAGCATGAAAGGGCTTCTGTTGGGCCGCCTGCCCCTTGGGTGGCTTCATTTAGAACCTTGCCCCGGGCGCTGCCGCATCCTGTCGGGTGACCTGCTTTTCAACCCTGTGCCGGCAGCTGCCATGCGGCTCTGCCCCAGGCCCTTCAGGCTTGTCACGTGACACGCATGACCTGTGACCCCTTTGTTCCTCACCCAGATCATTAGGTCTTTGTACCCCTTTTCTGCTTAACAATTTTGCTTTGTTTTCTTTTCTCTTTTTCCCTCTTTACTCCCCCTTTTATTTCCTACCTAACCAAGGTTTTTTTTAAGTGTTTTTTATTTGAGGTATGTAACATGGATCCAGAAAAGTACCTGGTCATAGGCTCTGATTTTCCAGAGCACCAACGCGCCAATGAGAACATCGCCAGCAAACCTCCCCCCCTTCTAGTCACCGTCCTCTCCCTCGGGCCTCTGTCCTCACCTCTGCAGCCAGGCCTGTTTTCATCCACAGAGAAAGGGACTCACACGGTGTATATTCCTGTGTCTGCTCCTCCATCTAACATTTCTGTGATGTTCCCCCGGGTGCCCAGCTGGTTACTGCTGTAGGACTCCGTTTGTGTGACTGCTCCACCGCGATCTCTTCTACTCTCAATGGGCTTTGGGTTGTTCCTAGTTGGGGCTGTCAGGAAATGTGGTGCTAAACTTTCCTGCATGTGTCTGTGGATGAACAAAGGACATGTTTCTGGGTGTTTACATGGAGGTAGAGTTGCCCAGACATAGCGCATCCACCTGACCGTTTAATCTCCCAATTTGTATAAAACACTATATAACTGATTTTGGGCAAACTCTTGGTAGAAAACATCTGTAAATGTATAGAGACTCAGCTTTAGCATAATGTAGCCAATTTCAAAAGTGTCTCTACTTACGTGCGCTGTATAACTAAACAGATAAGTCCAATATACAACAACATTGCCACTCACTGCCCACAACACACCTTCTTAACTCTCTTCCTAATGTTTACTTTTTAATCCCAAGCGGTGGGCCCCTTCTGCAAAAATGTCAGGCAAACGTTTGAATGGGGTAACGTGCAGATGACACCACCTCCCGGTGGCAGTGCCGGCAGGGAGGGGGGACGGCTGGTGCCTGCCGCCACTCCTGGCCAAAGTCGCCTGTGTCTGTACAAATGACTCCTGACCCAGAGCCTGCAGGAGCGACAAGCCAACATTGGTTCCACCTTTCACCTTAAGGAGTGTAGAAATGTGGTTGTGACATCATATCCCCCAAAGCTGAATAGTATCTTTTAAGGAGATTTTATTTGACCATTAGGTAGATGCCCCCCAGTCATTCTGTGAATATGTGTAAATTAAGTTGAAATTATGTTGACTTGCCCTCGCCGGGTTGGCTCACAGGTTAGAGCTTCATCCCTCAGACTGAAGGGTCTCTGGGTCGATTCCGGTTAAGGGCACGGACCTCGGTGTCGGGGTCTGTGCAGGAGGCAACCAGTCGATATGTTTCTTGCACATGGATGTTTCTCTCTGTGTGTTTCTTCCACTCTCTAAAAATCAATGGAAACAATGTCCTCCAGTAGGATTTAAATATTTTAAAAAATTGACTCTTGTTTTGACCATAGTGATTTTGGAGATCATCAGAAGGCCGTTCCTCCCCTCCATTAAAAAAAATGTAGAGGAATAATGATAATGTGATGGCTATAGAAGGATAGCAGCAGAACCAGAAGGTCTGCTTCCTGTGTTAGGGAAGCAGCTTTTCTTGGGTAAGTCCTGGGTGGAGAAAGGAGGTTCCCACCCGATCAAGATGTTTTTGAAACAAAGTATGGCAAAAAAAGAATGAGAGGATCGAGGATTTTGTTTTCATAAAAGTACCCTTTGTCTAGGAATTCTGTATTTTTTATTCCAATCTTATTTTTTTTTAAATAGTGGTATGTACACTTTGATATTTCGAAAACTGTCTTAATACAGGTGTACTGGGTTTCATTCATTTTTTTTAATTTATTGGGGTGATGTTGGTTAATGAAATTATATAGGTTTCAAGTGTCCATTTCTAGGATACATCACCTGCATTTTGCACTGTGTGCCCACCACCCAAAGTCAGATTTTCTTCTGTCCCCTTATATTTGACCCCCTTACCTTTCACTACTCCCCACTCCCCTCTGATAACCACCATGCTGTGGTCGGTGTCTATGAGTTTTGGTTTGTTTTTCTTATCTCTTCATTTGTTGCTTTCAGCTTTATATCCCACATGTGAGTGAAATCATAGTTTCTTGACTTTTTCTGTCTGACTGACTTTGCTTAGCACGATATTCCCAAGGTCCCTGTTGTCCCAAACGGCAGTGTTTCATCTTTTCTCAGGCTGCACAGTCCTCCATGGTATCTATGTATCACGCCTCCTTTATCCACTCGTACTGAGGCACAGTTAGAACTCACATTGGTTCTGTTTAAACCACTGCATCCAGTTCAGGAAGTGTTGCTATTAATCTACCTTCGTCTGTGTTCTCTAAGTCCTAGACGTCATAGAGATGATAGTCCCTGTCCTCCGAGAACTCGTGGTCCAGGGGGCATGGGTGGTGGTGGCAGCAGATGCTGTGATAGACTGTGTACGGTGCTTGCCACAGCGAGAATTCCCTGCAGGAAGAGAGGCAGTAGACCACTTGAAGTGGCCTTAGAAGACGAGTAGATTGGCCTGCCGACGCTCTATCCTGATCTCTGCCTTCGGCTGATCTCTGCCTTCGGCTGGAGTTAAGGTGCTCTGTGAAGGAGCGATGGGAAATGAGCTCGGGAGCGGGGAGCCAGTGATGGGTTTGTACCTGATGTGATGGGCAATATAGCAGTGACCGAGAACACGCCATTTATTACTTATTTTTTATCCTTTCCTGAGGATGTGTTTTTATTGATTTTAGAAAGAGAGGAAAAGGGGGAGAGGGGTCTAGAAAGAGAAACATCGATGTGAGAGAGAAACATCAGTCGGTTGCCTGGCTGGGAATCGAACCTGACACCTTTTGATATGGGACGGTGCTCCAATCAACTGAGCTACCCAGCCAGGGCAAGCCTCCCTTTAGATCAAATGAGAAATTGAGTCCCAACTAATGTTGCTGTGTGACCTTAACCTATCTAAGCTTAGTTTCCTCATTTGATAAATGGAACGTTACCCATGTAACATGCTGTAGTTTTATGTAAAAGAAAGTGGATTATGTGTGGAGAGCGCTTAGCAGGTGCTCAAGTAGCTCTCAGGACAAGGGGTGCCATGGAAGCTGACTTGTTTTGACCCCAGTGTTTTGGAGACCATAAAGCGGGACTTCCCTCCTCTCCATCAAAACAAAACAAACTAAAAAACAAAAATGTGGAGGGAATGATTAGAATTTGTGGTTCTAAAAGGGTAGTGACGGAACCAGAAGGTGTTTGGAACATAGAGTGGTGGGATCTGAACCGCTTAAGCCTTTCCCTTTTATTTCTATAACTAGAGGCCCGGTGCATGAAAGTTGTGCACTGGGGCGGCGGGGGGTCCCCTCAGCCCAGCCTGCGCCCTCTCGTAGTCCGGGATCCCTCACTTCTTACTGCCCACCTGTTCGCTGCTCCTTAGCACTGCTGCGGAGGAGGGAGAGGCTCCTGCTGCTGCACTCGCCAGCGTGAGCCTGGCTTCTGGCTGAGTGGCGCTCCCCCTGTGGGAGTGCACTGACCACCAGGGGGCAGCTCCTGTGTTGAGCGTCTGCCCCCTGGTGGTCAGTGCGCATCATAGCGACCGGTCGTTCTGATCGTTCTGCTGTAACGGTGGCTTAGGCTTTTATTATATGGATGACACGCAGAAGACTGCCCACATTCGAAGTGCATGCTCTGATAGGGCTACATGCACATGCACCTGTGGAAACACCACTCAAAACAGCTGACCATCCCGTCACTCCCAAAAGTCGTGTCCAAGCCCTTCAAAGAGGACAGTCTGTGCAGCAAAGAAGGGCGCAAAATGGAGCCGGAAGTAGAGAAGTCGGTAGGAGGCTGCGTGGCCCGGGGAGACCGAGAATGCGGGCTCTGAGCTGGGTGAGCAGTGGCTGGGCCCCCATGAGGGTGCATCCTGCAGGCAGGGCCGAGCGGCATCGCTGTGTCGTCTCCAGCACTGACCAGTGCTTGTTTTAACGTGTTTCTCCCTTTCCTCCATTCAGGGCTTAAAAGACAACCTTCTGGCTCCTGGGACCTGCAGCCTGGCAGGCAGCAGGCAGCTGCCTCGCCCGCGGGCCACGCGGGTCTGCCTGCGGGACCTGGTGTTCTGCATGGAGCAGGAGCGGGACATGAAGCACTCGCGTGCACTCTACCTCGCGCTTCTGAAGTGACCCGCCTCCCGCCTGCTGTCCCTCCAGCCAAGACTCGAAGGCTCGGCCTGGAGCTGCCCTGCAGGGCCTCCACACTGGGGGCCCTTGTTTACAGTCATGAACTTCCGTTGTGTCTCAGTGCACGTCGTGGGGCGGACTCGGCTTTCCTCCTGGAAACGGGTCGTGAGGTAGGTCACTCAGACGCAGGCATGTCCTGTGCAGGAGCCACAGTTCACGTCACCACGCGAGTCCCAGCTTGTGGGGAAATCTGACAGGTGTAGCTGCTGATACATATACCTCATTGCAAATGGTGAAGGTGGAGGCTACCAGAAGGACTGACGCCCTCGTCACACTGTGGAGGGAAAAGGAAGACGGAGCATAAACCGGAAGTGGCCACCTGTGCCCCCGGCAGGGCAGGCCCAGAGCTAAGGGCCATGGTTTGTTGATGGAAAACAACCAGCCCGACAACAGGAATGTTAGCAACGTTTCAAACTGCAGTCTCCAAAGCGAAGCTCTTCTTTGTTCTGTGTATCGCTTTAACCTCAAGGACAATTTTGTAAACTCTTTTAGTTGCCCTATGTTTTAAGCGTCTTGTTGCATTAAAAAAAATCCTAATTGGTGATTTAAAGTTTTTAATAGGGACTCTGTGGGGGTTCTGGACTCAGAAGGCAGGGCTAGCACCTCTTGCACTCGGCTCTGTGTGTATCTGAGAAGCATGTTCTATAGACTCACCCAGGAGGAGGCTGATGTTTGCTAAAGCAAACCCTGCTTTGTTTTGTTGTTTTGTTTTAAATGCCACCTGTGTGGCTGGTGACAAATGGTAGCTGTAGTCAGTCACAGAAAGAGAATAAATTCTCCAAGAAAGTTTTACAAAAGTGGGAAAGCTCTGCTTCTGAACCAAAGAATTCCATGGGACGTGCCTCAAGTAGGCCTCCTCCTGTGGGGCTGTCATGGCCACACTGTGCTCCAGTGCGGCTTACAGTGGCCCCATCTCTTTCGTTCCACAAGTTACTGTGTAAATGTTATAAATTATGTAAATGTTAAAAGTACTATACAAAGAGCTCTATACCAAAAGTTGTTTTTGTATATTTAAATGCTTAACTTTATTTTTTGTAAAGTGCAGCATATTCTCATATTTGTGTATAATCTTATTGATCAGATGTTTGAAATTATTTCAAATACTTCATTAAAATAATTATTTTATTAGAAGAGTAACTCTGTTTAGTCTCTGCCTTTGAAAATCAGTATCATTACCCTGGTCGGTGTGTCTCAGGGGTTGAGCATCACACCATGAACAGGAGGTCACAGTTCGATTCCTTATCATGGCACATGCCCGGGTTGTGAGCTCGATCCCCAGTAGCGGGTGTGCAGGAGGTGGCTGATCAATGATCCTGATCATTGATGTTTCTATCTCTCCCCCTCCCTTCCTCTGAAGTCAATAAAAATATGTCTAAAAAGAAACCCCCAGTATCTTCAGTGGTCAGCCCTGGAGCTGGGGCGGGGTGTGTGACGTATGTGCCAGCTTTGGTCCAGAGCCTCCCGGCAGACTCAAGTTTGACTGCATCCCTTTCTTTGAAATAGCTGTGCATTTGCTAAGCCTGGGACCCCTCGCCCTGTGCCAGGCCAGCACAGCCAAGGGCTCGGTGAGCCTGAGGAGGGGCAGTGAAGGATTAAAGAAAAGACAGACAAAGAGAATACAGCTGGGGCTTGGTAGAACTCCTGTGGCTGGATGAGGACACAGAGATCCAGCCAGCAAGCTGAGGCTTTATTTTATAGTCAGAAAAACAAGGTAGTGGTCAACATAGTTACAATGTTCTTGTGAGTTTCACTTGTTTTTGGCAGCACTTGCTGCATCTCCCACAGCCCGTTAGCTACCCAGGAAGGATCTAGGGATTGTCATAAGGTCAAGCTTAATTACCCTAAGAGGGCGGTGCCCTCTAAGCTGGGACTTGTTTGTGGCTCTGCCAACAGGTCAGTCTGAGGCTTAACCCTATAGCCGCTCTCTACATCGCCCCTACCTCCCACAGGGGCTGGAGTGAGTGGCAGGAGGAGGGGCTTCACCCATCCTTGCCCTGGGCCCAGGGAGCCAGAGGCAGTTCTACCTCCAGAGCCGGGGGGAGCAGACCCATCTGTTTAATCACCTTGGAGATGGCACCTGGGTGGAGCCTCCGCAGGACACTCCTCCGACCCTGCGATCAGGGAGGGAGGGGCTGGGCCCTGACTGCAGCCCTGGCCCGTCCTCCCCAGGGGACCTCATGCCCCAGGTTCATGGTGGGCCCTGACCATGGCCCCTTCCCAGGCTGGACCTGCCCAGGGAGGACCCAGCTCAGCTGATGTCTGGTCACCTCGTGGCCTCTGGCTCCTAGGGCTCCTGTGTCCCTTCTTCCATGAGACCTTTACGAGGCCCTGGGAGTGGGTGAAGGGGACAGCACTTCCCTTAGTTTTTCAGATGTGGAGCTGAGGCTGAGGAATGCAAGTCACTAGCCTGAGGGTGGCTCATTGGCTAGTGTTGTCCTGTGCACCGGGAGGTGGTGGCTTCTTTCGTGGTCAGGACACATATCCGGGTCGTGGGTTCGGTCCCCGATCGGGCACATATGGGAGGCAACTGATCGTTGTTTCTCTCTCTCTCTCCCTCTCTTTCTTCCCCTCTTCCCCCTCCCTCTAAACCCCCCCCCAAAAAAAAACAAGGAAAGAAAAAGTTTTCAACAGAAAAAAATATATATTAAAAAAGAATGCAAGGTATTAATTAGCCCAAGGTTTTTAAGCCAGCGATGAAGGGGCGGAGCCGCTCCAGCCCTTAGACTAGGCTGTCCCCACCAGCCCTGCTCGGCTCAGCCCTGGGAGACGTGCACAAGGTGACCAGGGCCCCAGGGACAGCGGGCGTCAGTCTCCTCTGCTGGGTTTGGAGCCGCTTCTAGGGCAGCTTTGTTTAGATCCATGCCCTGGGCTGAGGCTGGATTGAAACGATGTGCGGGACAGCAGTCCTGAGTGCACGCAGGAGTTTTTCCTAATAACTGACTTCCCTCCCTTTCTTGACCACTCAGGGAGTGAGCAGCCAAAGGTCAGGGAGTGAGCGGCCAGAGGTCAGGGAGTGAGCGGCCAGAGGTCAGGGAGTGAGTGGCCAGAGGTCAGGGAGTGAGCGGCCAGAGGTCAGGGAGTGAGTGGCCAGAGGTCAGGGAGTGAGCGCTAGAGGTCAGGGAGTGAGTGGCCAGAGGTCAGGGAGGAGTGGTCAGAGGTCAGAAAGGAGTGGTCAGAGGTCAGGGAGGAAGGAAGAGGGAGAGAGAGTAACATCACTGATGAGAGAGGATCATTGATTGACTGCCTCCTGCTCGCCCTACACGGGGGAAGCTTTGCTGGTGGCCGACAGCCTGCCCCTGGCCACGGACCCCCCTTGCCTCCGCCTGTCTGCACCGTAGGATAAAATCACTCAATGCCAATTCCAGGGCTGGTCAAAAATCAATACGACGGTGGGCGAGAACAGGTCGTTTTTCTCAGGGAAGTAACTGTTTCCATTAGTTTCCCATTAGAGCTGCCTTGTGCTGCTCTCCATCCATCACTGGCCCAGCGCGGCCTGTGTCCGGCCGGGGCCTGCGCTGGAGTCAGGAGACGGGTGAGAGGGCGGCAGGGAGCGGCCCGGAGGCTGCCTGGGAGCCGGTCTCGGTGCCGGTCTTAGATCACCGGCTGGTTACAACCCCTCCGAGCCTCGTGTTCCCCTCCCGGTCCTGGTCCTCTCCACTGTGGGCTCTGAGCCAGAGCAAGTGCGCGGAGCGCCGGGTGCACTGACCCTCAGTGGATGAGCCCGTCTCCGCGGGGATCTGGGGGCGCCTTGGGGACCCAGGGTCTGGGTGGGGACGGGCGAGGGCAGTTTCTCGGGTCTGCACATGTGCGTCCTGTGCCTTTGATGCAGGTGTTTGACTTTTAAACTCTTCTCCGTCCCTGACCTCAGCCGCCCTCCTCTCGGGATCTCGAACCTGTTCTCCAGGAAGGCCTCTCAGCCCCACCTTCGCACCGGGCCTGACCTCTGACCTCACCCCCTGCCCTCCATGCTGTGGTCTGTGTCTGTTCCCACCAATCTCCCCTAACAACTCTGAGTCATCTGAGAACAGGGGCAGTGGCTTCTTATTTTTTTTAAAAATATATTTTTATTGATTTCAGAGAGGAAGGGAGAGGGAGAGAGAGATAGAAGCATCAATGATGAGAAAGAATCACTGATCAGCTGCCTCCTGCTCGCCCCCCACTGGGGATCGAACCTGCATCCCGGGCGTGTGCCCTGACCGGAATCGAGCCCCGTTGAGGGCCCTTTGCTTCCTCCTGGCCCCCTCCCTTTCTCTA